AAAAAGTATGTTTTAAAGGCTGTATTTCACACTACCAGATTCATCGCCAAGATTTACTTGTAAAGTAAACTTGTCGAACACAAAAAATCCAGCCTGATTTTTTATTTTGGCCTCCCTTTTAGACAAAGGAATACAACGTGTAAATTGGCTGCCACCTGGACTATCATGGCGCGTGTGATATTTTGGAATTATCCAATCATCCATAGTCTCTCAAACGGAGCAACAGCTAATGCAAATACAGTACATGAATAGGTCCATTTGTTTTCCAGGCCTAATATACTGTGATCGAACATGATTGCTATTTTTGGGTGTGCAAATAAGACTATTAACTCGATGTAAAATTTGTTTCACTCTTGGACTGTTGAATTATTTTACTCTAAAATCACTTAGCCTTTGCCTCAAAAGTCACATGAATGTGCCCTGATCTGTGGATTACAAGTTTATTGTTTGGTGTAAATTGTGAATTTTTTAACTGGAGCTGCGCTGTTAGCCCTGGCTAAATCTATATATTATATTCTTCAATTCCTCTTGGAACGGCTATGAACTCACTATCTTTGGCTGGAAAAATGGTTTATTTCATGGTGGAAATTTGGACAAGGACTGTACAATGACTATAATATATTTAAAGATGCCTGCCTTTCTAAGCTGCTCGAAAGATATACATGGGAAACTAAAGGAACTAAAGGTTTCAGCTTGAAGTCCAGGGCAGTACAACGATATTACATGACAGCAGAGTTCAGAAGTCTGTTCCCCTGTAACTTGCGTACCATGGTAGGATATGCTCAAGGAAATAATGATCATGTTGACCTCCAACAGTCTCAAATAGCTAAACACGAACAAGACGTCAAAGCAATGGTAGATCTTATTGAAAGTAACTGGACCAATCCATTCAGCAGTTACCAGCCCCTCTTAAGTATTTCCACGGGTGCCACTGCTTCTCCCAAAATTAAACGTGACCTGAGCAGAGCGTACCTAGTAAGGGAGACTGCCTACCAACAATTAAAAAAGGAATGCCTAGAACCGGAGAAACCACCAATGAAGTTCCATCATACACTGACAAAGTAAAAGTTACCGGTAAAGACTTCCAGTGATCATAATAAAACCAAAAAGGCGAAGCAGAGCAAAGGCAATGAGACAGTACTCCGTGCTGATTGTAATTTGTTCGCATGAATGATAATCATCGCTGAAAGTCGACAGCTTCAGATGCAGGAGGTTCTCTGCCATCCTCTAGGACCCCTTCTGCCCCTCTTGCAAAAGCAATGGCTTGATGTGAAAGACAAACAAAGCACAACTTGGAAGGGAGTGAGAGAAACTGGTTCGGCCAACAGTGGATAATCGGCCTACCTGATTGATGGTATGTCATTAATTCAGAAACTGAAGGTAGACCATCTTATATTTGGTGAAATTGCTGAAATGGCATTATCAAGAGTCTTGAGAGAGGATGACGGTAGTAGCCGAATAGACGTTGTGTTTGACGTGTATAGGGACCTGTCAATTAAATCAGCGGAGAGAGAGTTGAGAAGTGAAGATTTCATCACATTTAAAAACCTTTCAAGTGGCAAGAAGGTTAAGCAATTCAGAAGCTTTTTGCAGAATAGTCAGAATAAAACCAGCCTAATAAAATTTATCGTTAATCACTGGAGTAAACTGTCTCGCCAATCAAAGCTGCAACACAAGACACTTTATGTTACATGCGGGAAGCGTTGCTACAAGCTAACAACAGAGAGCACACAAGAAGAAGAGGAGCTGCAATCAGATTAAGAGGAAGCCGACACCTGCCTCCTCCCTCATGCTAGACATGTGACAAAAGAACCATTCAATGCCATAGTCATCTCATCTGAGGACACTGATGTACCCATTCTCTGTCTTGGTTTTTCAAAATGACATCAAAGTGCCGCTTTTCCAGCGTTGCGTTTCACAGCAAATGGCCAGATATATAGACATTGGATTAATCGTTTGTGCCATAGGTCTTCAAGTATGCAAGGCTTTGCTTGGGCTACATGCCTTTACAGGCTGTGACTCAGTTAGCTCATTTGTAGGCATTGGCAAAGTAAAGCCACTGAAGATTCTTTCAAAGAACGATGAATTCCAGGAAGTGTTTGCAAGACTTGGAGAGGAGTGGTCAGTAACTGAAGAGTTCTTTGGGAAGTTGGAAGCCTTTGTCTGTGCTCTCTATGGTGCCAAAAAAGGTACATCTGATGTAAATGAGCTTTGGTATACTCTTTTCTGTGCCAAGAAAGGTGAGGCACAATCGCACCAGCTACCGCTGTGCAGGGAATGCTTAAAAAAGCACTGCCAAAGAGCTAATTACCAAGCTGCAGTTTGGAAGAACTCTCTTCACAATAATGAAGTGCCAACTCCGGTGGGCAAAGGCTGGTTTCTCGAAACGAATGCACATGGTTAAAGACTTCAAACCGACTGAATGGATGGCTTCCCTGCACCAAGAGCAGTGATCAAGCTAATCGCATGCACTTGCAAGCAGTCTTGTGATGAAACCACATGTGATTGCATCCTTAATGGCCCAAAGTGCTCAGACCTCTCTAGAGTAACAACGTGCTCCAACCAGCAAGAGGAAGAGGGAGACATCATTGTAGAAGATGATGATGAAGTTCTCGATCCGGACGTAGAACTAACTTTATAAACTGTTGTTTTAATGCTTAAGATCGCAAGATGTCTTAACTGCATAGCCCTTGTGCTAATTTGTATGAGACATTGATTACAGGCAAAAGGTTTAAGAAGGTCATGTACAGGTAATGGTTTGATGGAAAACAAACTAGTGGAAATAATTTATTGAGGTATGTGAAAGCTTTTGGACAAAAGAGCTTTCAGTGCATAAAACATTAGAAACAAATTAGAACAAAAGCCGACAACAGGATTTTTTTAAACCTATTAATGGTGCTCCACAGGTTACCCAGTACTGCTTCTAACCAAGAAAGGAAATATTTGCTTGCAAATAGAATTTTTATGCTTCTTCTTCCCATTGTGTACTTTTTATTTCTTTGGGGGCCTGGGACTTGGGGTGGCATTTATTTGGATTATAGCCAATACCCTTTAGGATACTTGTGCTTGCCAAGTGACCAGGCTTCCATGTGAGCTTCACTTCGTTTCATCTTGACGGTGGTTAAAGACGTGTTTTTTCATTCGAGGTGAGTTTTATTAATTTTATCCCTTTAAACAATTTCCTCTTTCACCATTTGTCTTTATAAGTTACGCGCCTTCTGTGTATGTCGATTGGGTTTTTTCTTTCGATTTAGGTTTGGTCAATTTCTTAGATTTTGCTTGTACGTGTGCACGGTCGAATTCACAGCTTTCTTCGATTCGAATTTCTTTCTTTGGTTTTGTTTTTTTCTATGGCTAGCTCACCTCCTACAGTTCTTATCTTGGGTCATTCGTTTGTTCGAAGGCTGAGTTCAGACCTTAGATCCAATTTTGATGCCCGTGCTGGCGAACATTTCAATCTTTTGGGTGACGCCGTAATTCACTTGCATGGCGTGGGCGGTCGTACTGTGAAGAAATTTCGCCTTTATGACCTCGGTGTTGTTTCTGCTCTAAAACCTGACGTTATTATTCTTGAAATAGGAACTAATGATCTTGTTGCTAACCGTCCCGAGATCGTCGGTTCTGAGATCGATGATTTGGTTTAATTGCTGCTCCAATTGTACTCTGTACGAGTCATTGGTTTTTGCGAGGTGATACCTTGTGTTCGAGCGCCGTTCTTCAACGTGGCGGCACCGATCCTCAACCAATATCTCACTGATGTTCTACAGCTTTGTCCCAACGTTTTTTCCTGGCGCCATACGGGCTTTAGTAATCCCACCGTCAGTCCTTACTTGCCCGATGGCATTCACTTAAACCCTCAAGGCCAGTATTCTCTTTATTGAAACTATCGGGGAGCTATCTTGAAGGCCCTTCGCTCGCTTTGATTTTCTCACCTTGGCGGCTTTCTTTTCCTGGCATTGTTTTATAAGGCCCTGGTGCTGGATTTTATTAATCTTGATTTTCATTCCCTGTTGCAAAAAATTTTTGTAATTTTAAGCCCTTGTTGCTTTGGTTTATTTTTATTTTATTTTATTGGAGCCCTTGTTGCTCTTGTTAGTTTCCATTCTGAATTATATTTTGAATTAGAGCCATTGTTGCTCTGGTTTTATTTTATTTGGGGCCCTTGTTGCTCCTGTTTATTTCGAATGAGAGCCATTGTTGCTCTGGTTTTATTTTATTTGGGGCCCTAGTTGCTCCATAGCCATTTACTCCATTTGTTGATTGGTTATATTTTTGCCCAGTAAACATAGCTCAGGCAAGGCAGCATTTTTGGGTTGTGCATATAATTTATAAGGGAGAAAAGGCATAAATCTATTGAAAATAAGAACATCTCCAGACGTCTATGCATTATGTCAATACGATGACATGTTTTACTAACATTCTAAACAGTAAGCACTATATGGTTAATAAAATGAGCACCAGGAAAATGAACAGTTTCTAGCGTTACTGATTCAATCAGTAGAAATGATGTTGCTCTTACGAGTTATTAATTATATAAAGCGTAAGTTCATGTAGAAAATGTACTAAAAACGTAAACAAAGCTTGTTAAAGTTGTAGTCATATTATTACACTCTTATTTTCTCTTGGTTGTACAAAATACATAGCAAATTTGCAAGATACTGCTACCTTGGTGGTACTATCTACTACTGCACAGGGTGGCAACTTTCAGGTCACGTGACAGCCTCAAGCTGTGAATGTAACCTTGCTATCACATATTTTCTTATTATGTATTACAAGAGCTTCAAGAAAATATATGACAATCTTTGCCACCTCAGGTGGTACCAAAATTTGCTTTGGCTCATGGACTACTACAGGCCCCCTGTGATAACAATAGCTTTGATTAGTAAGGCTATAACTAGATCTGAAAACACCACGCTCAATCAGTATTACTGCTGGCTGTAGTCAATTAACATTTGTCTCCTATTTTTTCCTTTTTCATTATTATTATTTTTCAGGCTAACATGGAAATAGCAAAGATACATGAGACAGAACGACCTCCCAGTGTCTTACTTAGAGATGACCTGTTCCAGGCCTTTCATGCTGAAAATCCTGAAATTTCTCGTGATACATTACTTTCTTATTTTCAGCGATTAATGGGATGTGCGTCGTTTAAATCTGTTATCCCACACAAAAAAGGGGAAAGATACTTGGCTATTGTCACTTGTCTTTTAAAATTAATGAAACCAGTGAGTTGGTGGTTCAGAAAAAAGAGGGGACATCAAAATATAAATATGTGCTTGATGATGAAGTACCAATTGAAAGGAAAAAAGAAATGACAAAATTCAAAACAGCAAATGAAAGGAAATTTTGCCTGGGTGTTGCTGATGTACTTGAATATGATGAGTCAAGTGAGAAAGGTTTTATAGAGCTGGAAAACAAAAATACAAGTGACAGTCAATACACTTGTTCCCAAACATGGAGGTATGGTGTTAAAAATCCAAACCTTTTAAAGGAAAATTTTATTTGTGGAAAACAATTGTATAAACGTTTATAAACGTTTTAAAACCCGAGGTGCCCCTGCTAGAGGAATCGGGCCACCCCCAGTATAGCAGGAACAACTGCAAACCAGCATTGTTTCCAGGTTAACTTTGCCTAAATTACATTTAGCCGCATTAATATAAGAGTTGTTATTGTTATCATTACTATTATTCCTTTCATTTATATTAATTAATTTAACTCCTGGCTGGGAAATAAATTTCATCAGCTGGCTGGGTTCCAACCAATTTTATCTAGCTGGCTGGGAAATTTTTTGTGTGTCTTGCTGGGAAAAAGGAAAAGATAATATTTTCCCAGCAACACTGAAAGACACTTGAAAATGCCTTAATAACATATATTTTCATTAATGGGGGTTATTACCCAGAACTGATTTCAAGAGAATTTTGAGCTCTCAGTGGTCCATTCGATTTAACAAGATGCTCACAGTTTTCCTGGTCACACTTTAAAATTCAATCCCATTTAATATTCTATTTTGTACGTTTTGTTTGCAGATTCCCATCATTGCTGCCCTTTGACTCAGCAGTGGAGTTAGAAGAGTTTTCACAAGAGTTCAATGACTATCTCCTACTAGACGAATCAGATTTGAACCCGGGGTCGCAAAGATGAGCAAAACGCTGATGCAGTGTGGAACCAGCTACGGTTCCAGAGATTGGCACGAGTAGCTAAATTGGTCCTTACAATGCCTCATTCAAATGCTGGCGAGGAAAGTCTTTTCCACGATAAAGAAAAACAAGACACCTTTCCGACCCAACCTCGATCCATCCAAGATGCTTGGCAGCATTATTTCCATTAAAATGGAGTTAGAACAGCGAGACCCATGTGCATTAGTGGAAAGCAGTTTTTCCTTTGATCTTGACAAGCTGTATCAATAGTCTACTAAACTAGATTTGGATCATGTTGTGTTCTCGAGATGCCCTTCATTTGCATGGGTATTTAAAATAAACATTGAATCAATCCTATTGCACAAAAACTCAGTTTGACTCTTCTTACGTATTTGCTATTCTTCTATGAAATTAATCATTTTCAGTGCGACCAGAAAAAACATGAACACCTGAAATATACCAAGAATATTTGTTAAAATTATAAAACCAAAAAAATATCGAAAAATTTCCTCCAAATGAATGCCAAATGCTTGTCTAAGTTTGTTAAAAATTATTTATAACCCAGAACTGATTTCAAGAGGTTCTGGAACTGGACGTTTTTGCAATGGTCTTGCTGTTTTAACTGCCCACCGGCTGGCACCACAGAAATACGTTTTGAAGGCACGGTACAGTATTTTGCTGGTCAGCATCATCTCCTTTTAAAATTCAAAACACCCGCAACTTTAAATTGGTTCTCAACGTGAGCCTGGTAGGCGATGAAAAACCCCAAAACTTAGAGTGAAAACTAAAAACTTAATCTTTAAACGTCGCCTCTTGTTTCCCTCTTCCTTTCCACACATTATATATTGTGCCAAAGACAAACTGTGCTTGCACAGCAAGTAAATTTTTTGAAAGTTTTGCGGCGTGGTAGTCTTTGTGTCAATGTTGCGCCGATGTTGTGTGCAAAGGCAAAAAACAGGCACCTTTCCGAGAGCTGTAGCGGTCTCCTAAGACAAACCAACCTTCAAGTATGCCGAGCTGGTGTGCTGGAGCCATTTGAAATGGTTGACTTCAATGTTGCGCCGATGTTGTGTGCAAAGGCAAAAAACAGGCACCTTTCCGAGAGCTGTAGCGGTCTCCTAAGACAAACCAACCTTCAAGTATGCCGAGCTGGTGTGCTGGAGCCATTTGAAATGGTTGACCAGGGCCACTTCGATTCGATACGAAGACAAGACGACCGCAGGTGTTCCTGGCCTTCAACTTGTTGACACGCTGCAAAGTTGCACGGTTGTACCATCCCGTCCAAGTTATTTCCAACTCTACTTGAAGTTGGTGCTTTGCTGCCGAATTACCCGTTGGTGTAATAAGTACCGAATTGAAGCGGCAAAGATGTTAAACAACTGGCCAAAGTGAGAAAAAAACCCAAAAGATTGTGACAAAAAAAAAAAAAGATCACACGGACGTAAGTTATGGTCATTTCATTCCATGGTCAGATCGTTCCAATCAATAGGAAGATCGTTCCACAAAATAGTCAGTTCATTGCAGAAAAAAAGCAGTTCGTTCCGCATATGTTATATCTATTTCTAGATGTGTAAATTTAGATGTGTAGAATGTGCTGCCTTTGCTCTAAACATCTGCAAATGGTTAGTCATTCGCGCCTTCTCGGATAAGGTCCTGTCTCTCACATGCACTACACTAACCTGGACCATAGGCGACCGTCAGAAGTTGCCTAACCCCAGTGCAGGACTTACAACACTATGCAGGGTCATAATGTTAAAAAACTTGAAAGGGTTAATACATCACCCTCGCAAAACAAAGATCAAACATTGAACAGACTGTTTTAGGTGATTTCTATGGTGCACACACTATCAGCCATTATCCTCGTATCCTGTCACGAATTGTTAAAGACTCCACTGTACTGTGAAACAATTGCGAGAACCAATATCTGTAAGTCAACCAGAACAACTTAAATAAAATGTCTCCCACTTTTCAAATTTTGGGGTTGGCATCTATGTAATCCTGGTAAGACTAGTAGAACCTGTGAAGCTGTTTGCGCTCTCTGAGTGGGTATCTTCCCTTAGGCTTCCTAATGGTTGACGTTTGTAGCGTCAGGTCTTGCACGGACACATCTGGTGATGCAAAGGAAGTATCAGGTTTGCTATAATCCATAGCTGGTGTATAAGGTAACGTAATTCGTCACCTGTGATATTAATAGGTTAACAAAGGGGTAACAAGGGTACTTAACTCAAACTCAAACAATTCGCTATCACAAGATGCAGTTTACCACACATCCTCTATGCAACAACGTGCTATTTACACTCCTGATATTTTATAAAGCCAACAACCAAATGTTCTCGATAAATCAGAAGGCTAAGTAGAGCAGTAACCTCAGTCCTGGTAGTAATTAACCCTGACAACCCTTGGGATTCAGAAGCAAGGACCACACCCATGTTCTGGCAAGTTTGCTCTTGAAGATGAGTTCGAATGATAGCTGTTGGAATAACTATGCCGTTTCATCTATTTCTCTTTCTCTCTCTCTCTCTGATATTTCAGTCGTTTTTGTGACTCCCCAATTGCTGGAGCAGGTGCCTACAGCTCTTACCTCCCTTTATGCTGGAGGGGCTGGTGTTACAACAGGCATTTCGGCCATTTCTGGGACTAAAAGTTCCATAAGTTCACTCTGAGCACAAAGTCATAGTTATGGACCACGGACATAGTTCTTCCTGATGTCTCTTCCAGTTTGTGTCTCCAAATCGGACCTATAAATTCCTGCGACTGATTGTTCCAACAATTGTTCCTGGAATCTATTTTGCTCCTTTGCCAGACTTCAAACAAAAACTGCTTTGTTTGATGTAAATGATCGGATTGTGGTCAATGAAAACGTTAAATGTTGTTTTGAAATTTTGAAGCATCACACTGTAGAACTCAGGTCAAAGGTCAGAAGTATTTTCAGTGCAGCCGTGAGTTAACACATTGCTATGACCAGAGAAGCGAACTAGTAGAAGACAATGGACTAGCATTCCTAGGCGAATAACTGGTAGTAATTTCATCTCTAAGAAAAGAAATGTTAGACAAATTCACAGATAGCACATTGGTATTGAAGGATGCCTGCAGTATGCCAGGGACGGACTATATTGGCCTCTCATGAATACCGATTTAAAGGATTTCATTAACGAGTGTTCAGCCTGTCAATCCCAGCCAGACCAATGTTGTGAAACCATGCAATTGTATCCAGTCCCACCTTGTCCTTGGTCAATTCTTAGTGCTGACCTTTTCACACTGGGACAACAGTTTTTTATTCCAGTTGACTACTGGAGTGGTTTCTTCGAAGTCCAGAAAGTCTATCCAGTCTGTGTCTCCGAAAATAACTGCTGCATATAAAGTCCAGCTTGCTGGACACAGCATACCAAAAGTGTCTATTACCAATAACGGATCTCAGTTTACATCTTCGGCATTCAGTGGATTTGTGAAGGAGTGTCAATTTGAGTAAGAGTCCCAATTACTCTCAATCTAATGGTCGCACCAAAAATGCCATGAAGGCTTGCAAGAATCTCATAAAGAAAGCAAAAGCTGATGGGTAGGATCCTTTGTTAGCTGCCAACTCATGAATCTTGAATCAACCGTCTTACAAGCTAGTTGATTGCAAGTCACGACATGCCAGTGCAACACAATGTGTTGAACACTAGAACCTTTAAAATGTGGACAGGCTATCTGCATAAAACTTTCTGGGAGGCAAGAATGGACCCTAGGAACCTGCACAAGAGTTTCAGAAGGTCCTATGAACTAGACCTACGCAATAGGTTATAGCACGTCAACTGTCGTCAATTATGATCAACCCTGAAACTCCCTCCTAACTGGATCCACCAAACCTTGAGCATAAACCACACAAACTCATTCATAGCCCTTCAGAAGCTGTGACTAAGCATGTTGTTTCAGAGCCAAGCCAACATGCTGGAGCTGCAACCGCAAGTGAGCTAGAGTCATGTAACTCTGACACAGGAACGGAGAAAGAGCCACTGGTGATATAATGGTGCCGATCACACTGCAGAAGGCAACCACCTGTTTACCATCAGGATTACCAAATTACTGAGACTCACTGAACAGTGAACACTGGTATTCTTGCTTTGTTTTGTTTTTTTACATATATATATTGAGAGAGAAAAAATGTCACAAGATTCTCATGGAACAGTGAACATTGGTCCTCTTAATGTCGTTTAGTTTTTTGCTTTGTTTCATGAAAGAAAGATGTCACAATATTGCGTTACCTAGTGACTGTGCATTGCATTGTGGGCATATTAATAACGAGTGGCACCTTGTATGATTACAGAACCATTCAATAGCTCATTGTGTGATATTCACAATAAGCATACATAACAAGTCATTGCTTGTCTGTACGCCTCGTGATGCTTAACTTAAGCCTGTTTTACTATCTGTGTGGAGTTTTTACGGTTACAAAACACGACAGTCCCAAGCGAACTATTGATGAGCAGAGTCTATATTCTGGCGGGGAAAAAGGTGTAAGTTTAGTACCTTATAGCACATACTATTCAGTTCGTGTGTTCTTGTTGAATTTGCTGTCCGTTTTACAAGAAGGTCTGCTCAAAATCGTGTAAAAGTCAGCAGCATAGGTTTATATCTTGCATGGATGGCTTTTAGCGCATGCTTGCAAGTCATTCCGTATCTTGTTTGTTAACTATGCAAACAAGCGACACAAACGACTCCGTAAACGCTGAAAGCCATGCAAGAGAGAAACCACTGGTCACAAGGTATCTCTGGACAGTTGTGGTTTATGCTTTCTCAGAGCACATGGTTTAGCTGTATGCAACATACATTCTTTAAATTTATCCACAGATTTTTTGGGTTTTATCACGCCTTTGGATTTTAATGATTACAATCATGATTGGTATATAGTGATTATAATGCTGTGCCTTTTAAATTTCAGTTTACAACTCAATCACATCAGTTTGTAAATGTGACCATAGTATATCACAGATAGGAGAGTAAGAAAGGCTTGATATTTGAAAG